TTAGTTAAATAATTATGAATCATGAATCATGATTAAATTTATAAGAATGAAGAAATCGCTGTGATCGATCGATTCATTAATACTTATTATTGCCATTAGATGGCTTTAAATGTCATGTAATTCTCGTTAGTATTATTTGTCAAGTATACTTACTTACATATGATTCTTACTTACATCAGATTCATTGAAATAAATGATAAGAATTAATACCGATTGATACTGAATTAATCAATTGAGATTTAGTTGGTAATAATGGATAGTAATCAATGATGATTGTATCCTTAAGCATGGTATAATTTAAAGTTATACAAAAAAAATAATAATTATATAAAGATTTTTTATTTTTAATTTTTTTATAAATCTTTTACTATTAGCAATTATAATATATTCGACTAAGAAAAGTTGGACAGAATTTGGTAATATTTAAAACTTTCGAAAATTTGGATGTATTAATCATAGCGCATAATATATTCGAATCAAATCGTGAAATCGGATTTAGATGAGTTGATTTTTAAAAAAAAATACTTTTTTTTATATTTTCCAATATTTTTTAGTTTTTAGAATGGATTGTTGGTTTTAAATTATAATTTATATGTTTAAATAAATTTATATTAGATAATTTAAAGTAATGTGAAATTATGGCATATTCTATCAATTAAAATTATGATTCATTTCATGTTTTTTATTATGATTCTCTATATGTTTTAAAAAATGATTTAAATAATGATATTTTATCATGAGAAATGAGATTTGTGATTTGAACCAATTTATAACAAGACTAACCTATTGAACAACCTGGTTGTGGTCTACGACCATAATTCGGAAAAAAATTGACAGTACCAATTCTTAAAGCCAATCCCGCCAATCCCATATCAGTATGAATAACATCTACGAAATCAGCGTCGGAAATGCTCAAATGATTATTCAGAAAGTAGTATAAAGGACCAGCAGGATCCAAACCTAAAAGAAACTTCGTTTGTATTTAAGTATTGCAAATTATTACAAATTAATTAAAAATAATTAAAAATAAATCTTAAAAGTTACAAATCATTGAATATTTTCTTAACGAATAGATTCCTTATTCGTCAAGAAAAAAATTATTTTTTTTTCAAAAGCTCTCTTAAAAAAAAACATTTTTGAACATATTGTAATTCTAATTCTTTCTTTTGTTTTATTATAACTTTAATTTAAAGTTATTTAAGGCGTACAAAAAAATGAAATATTTATAAATAACACCTGTTATTCTGCCAATTTTGACTTTCATTTGACGTCCTATGCTACCTGCAAGCTCAGCTCCCAATGAGTGCCCAATTATATGTATCTTTTTCGGGTTTACACCATTTTCTATCATATCATTCAAAACGTTAGCTACACATTTTCCGACAGTAGATATATCTGCCACGGCAAATGGATAAAACTGAGTAGTAATATTCCGATAATCAAGTCCAAAAACATTATCCTGTGTCATATCTAAATATGCTACAATTAGAAAATAATTTGAATTAATTATCGCATAATATATTATATTTTATTTTAAATTTAAATTTTAAATATCATCAAATTTATTTAATTGAAAAATGAAAAATAATTTTTTTTTAAATATATTTAATTTTACAAATATCGCAAAGAAAAATCTAAAGATAAACTGATAAGATAATATTAAATGATTAATTTATCATAAATGGAATTAAATTATTTATTCAATTTACCTTTTGATATTAATCTGTCACTTAAAGAATTTATGTCATTAGTGAGACCATTAATAAAAATCATTAAAAAGTTATTCTTTTGTATATAAGGAAGAAATATATTGGCATTTCTTATATTTTCATCAAAATATGAGCCATTTCTAGAAAAAGATAATTACTTAATTACAAGTTTGAAATATGGAAACAAATTATAATAGAAATGATACGAATTAGTGATTGTGTTTCACATTTAAACATACCTGTTATATAAACGTAGAAAAACATTTTGCGTCACATCAGCAGTAGCTATGAATAAATTTGATTCCAAAATTATTAACAAATCGTTATATATTAGATACATTTGAAATTTATATTATCTACATTTAACATCATAACAAAATGAGGTGATTTTATCTTCATTATATTTACATTTTTATTTCTCTTCTATCTAGTAATTAGTTCAAAGTTAAATTTCTCAAAACATGAAAAATATTTCAACGAATATTTTTGTATATAAGTTCTTTTTTTATCTTTAAAGTTATTCCTTAAATATTCTTCTTATTTTGTATGAATATCATATATAAAAGTAATGATTCTCACTTACCTGTCAACAAGAAGTTGAAAAACGCAAAGAAAAAATAAAAATAAATGTTGAGCATGTTGAAAGAAGTTCTCTGTTGTGCAAACTGTAAATTTAAATCTTTAGAAACAGATCGAATATATTTATTTAACTCCGTTTTGATAATTTTATTATTTCAAGTTTTATTTATATTTATATATGCAGAATACATATACATTTAAAAATAAAATTTTCAATTCTCGAAAAAAACAATTTAACTTATATGATTTTAAAATTATCTTAATATTAAATATATTAATTTTATTAATAATATTTAATATTCAACACGTATATTAATATAAACATATGTAATATATGTATATAAATATATAATATAATTTACGTAAAATATAATTTGTAAATATGTTTTAGAATTGTTGCTTACCAGAAAGTAAATTCTCAGTTTTCAAATTTAAATAATACTCATACATTCTGTTTATATAGTTTAATATTATCTAAGTCAATTAGTATAAATTATTTTTGTCATTTAAATCCATTAAATGATAATATTTGGAAAACAATATACGTTTTTGCATAAAGTATTGAATATCCATTATAAATAACCTCCATTTTGGTAACTATAGTTTAGATAGTATAACAATAAATATAAAATAACCTTCATTATGACAACTAGTTTAAATAATATAACAATAAATGAAAATAAAAAAAGATAATTATATCTTAATTATATATAATTATAATATATATTTTAATATATTTCATTCTAATAATAATATTTAAATCCTGATATATTATAAATAAAAAATATTATTTATATTATAAATAAAAAATATTGCAAATAATTTAAAATTAAAATTATCTTTTCGAAATTTGAATAAAAAACTAATTAATAAAGAAATTAATAAAAAAATAAAAATAAAGCAATATAATAAATATAATAAGTAAATGAGAGAGGAACAATTAAATTAAAATTAAATGATAACATTTTAGAAAAATGTCAATTATTTTATAATATTTTATCCATAATGGAATAGAATGGAATATCAATTTTTAATGACTTCTATATAGATAAAATCAGATTAATATATTATAAAAATATTTTTTTATCTTTTTAACAAAATTGAATACAAAGTTAATGTAATATAATAGATGATATTTTTAGAAAATAATGATATAGTTGAAATATACTATATTAATGATTTTCAATCATTATTTTATTATTTAATTTAATTTAATTTAAATATGAAATAGTAAGCTTGTGATTAGTTTAAATTAAAAACAAAATTAAACTAAAAACAAAAAAAATTCCATCAATTAATTAAAATATATTAAATTAAAATAAAGTAAGTTTGCGTTAGATGAAATGAGAAATAGTATAATAGAATAAACATCTATGTCTTCTATTTTCTTACTCCATTCTTATCTACTTCATCTAACGAAAATTTAAATTATTTATAATTTAATAAATAAGTCTCAATTAAAATTTTTATATTATACTAAATTTTGTGCTTATTTTGACCTATGAAATTGATTCTAGAGAATAAATTCACGATTATATCAATACCTTGTATATGAGAACAGAAGAGATTTATGAAAAATAAAGACAAATAAGTGAAATGAATATAATCAATTTATAATACAGGGACAATTTTCAGTGGATTAAAAACTGTTCCTGTACTTCCTTGACCAAAGGGACTCTTTGAATTCGTGACAAGATAATAGTTACCATTCCTAGAAGCATGAAAATAATCTATTGTAGATCAAAAGAATATTAACATAAGTAATAAAAAACTAATTTGAAAATGCTTTCTCTTTCATGCTATTCATTTGATGTTAAATAGAAAGAACTAAAATTTTTATATTGAAATCAAAAATTAACAAAAATTATACTAACGCATTGTTGGGTGTAGCATATCCCATTGGAATATATTCAATGTTGCATTCATTTAACCAATAAAATTCGCATTTTCCAATGAACGAGGTAGAGTTTTTAATTGATTCTACATAAAATTCGATAGATCTACCGTGACTGCAAAATCGTGTAATATCTGTAAACAAAAAAGTAACGAATATTATTTGATTTTGAGGAAAAAAATATATCTTCATTTGAAAATATTATACAGATATTAATATCTTATTCTATTTAAATGAAAATGTTTCTTAAAATGATAGAAAAACTTTCATAATAATTGATATATATATATATATATATATATATTCAGATATGTAAGTATAAGAAATAAATAATAATAATAAATATCTTCATTATTTATTAACTTATCACAAACCATTCTCTGATATCGGGCAACCTGGTTGTGGTCTATAACCATAATTAGGAAAAAAATCCACATGACCAATTTTCAAAGCAAGACCATAAACACCCATATCAGTGTGAATAACGTCTACGAATTCGGCATCAGAAGCACTCAAATGAGTATTGAGTATGTAATATCCAGGACCGACAGGATCCAAGCCTAAATAAAATAAAAAAATTTTCACTTGTATCAAAATAATGTGATGAATATAGAGCAGTTTCATTTTATTTTCGTATTCATCTAATATAAATTTTTTATAATTTATTAGATAAACATACCGATTATCGTAATATATTTGAAATAAAAATTTTGAAAGTATATTAAAAGTATATTTTATTGAGAAATGTGTTGAAAAATAATTTTTTTAACTTTAAATGTCAACTTGCGAAAAATAATTTTTGAAAGCAATTTGCGAGAATTTTATTTTCCAATATATTCACATTTTAAATCTCTGATATTTTTGTATACTATTTTTGTAATTGTTTTAATCTGGAAAATCGATATTTTATGTTATGCGTTTATGTATGTCAATTTATATTTTATATAAATTGATTAAGATCTGATTAAGATCAAGACTTAAATTGTGACAATGCCTTTTCATCCTGTTCAAAGATTGAAAATATTTGAAAAAATAAGTAATTTAAAGGTAATACCTGTTATTCTGCCAATTTTATAATTCATGTTGCGTCCAATAATCCCCGCAAGCTCAGCTCCCAATGAGATTCCAATTAAATGTATTTTTTTAAAGTTCACGCCATTATCTATCATATCGTCCAAAACGTCAGCCATAAATTTGCCAATTTTATATATATCTTGTTTGGCAAATGAATAAGATTCCTTACTAACATTTCGATAATCAATTCCAAAAATATTGTGTTGCGTATTCTTCAGATATGCTGTAATATTTTGAAGAGAATTTCATTAGTTATATATAGATAAAACATTGTAACAATTGTGATTATATATGTATAATGCAATATATACAGAATATATATGTATATAATTGTATGTATATAATGTATGTAATTGCATATATATAATTGTATATATTGCAAATGTATATAAATAATATTTAATATAAGCAGTTATTAATCGAATTGATAACTTACTACTCGTCAGTATTCCTATATCATAAGAATTTATATCTTCAGTGAAACCATGAATAAGAATTATAAGCAATTTATTCTTTTGTATATAAGGAAGAAATAGATTAGCATTTCTTACATTTTCATCAATATATGAATCATTCCTAAAAAAGAATAATTTAATTATGAATTTCAAATGTTCAAAAAAATTAAAATGATTATATACAATTAGAAATTAGTTAATTGTGTCTTATCCTTAAACATACCTGTTATATAAACGTAAAAAAACGTTTTGTGTAATATCAGCAACTATGAACAAAATTAGTTTCAAAATTATTAACAATTCGTTGCAAATACATTTGAAATTTATATTTATTTTTATATTTATATTTATATTTAATATCAATGTATTGATAAAATAAGATGATTCGTTTTCTTTTCGTTTTTATTTGATTAGTGAAAAATTAAATTAAAAATCATTAAAACATGAAAAATATACTTACATAAATATTTTTGCATATAAATTTTTTTGTCTTAATCTCTTGTCTTAATCTTAATCTCTAGAATCTTTCTAGAGTCTCTCTAGAGTCATTCGTTAAATTTTCTTAAATTTACTTCATATGAACATTTTATATAAAAATAAAAAAATACTCAAATACTTACCTGTTAACAAGAAGTTGAAAAATGCGAAGAAAAAATAGAAATAAATATTGATCATATTGAAAGGCAAACTAAATTCTTTGACTTGATATAAACTGTAAATTAATTTATTTAAATAAGTTTACAGTCTCAATATTTCAAGTATTATATTTATACATATATAATAATATATATACGTAATAATATATATTTAAAAATAAAATGTGAAATTCTTAATTCTTGAAAAAAACAATTTAATCCAATTGAATTTACATGATTTTAAAATTATTGATTTTATTAATATTAAATATATTGATAATATAGTATTCAAATATATAATATTTATAAATATAATTTCTAATACTTGTGCTTATAAATTAAAAAAAATCACTTACCAAGAATCAAATGATCGAATTTTGTAACAACGTAAATTTCAAAATTTAAATATTACTCGTCACTCGTATTTATATAGTTTGATATTATCTAAGTTATTTTTATGTTAATAAGTTTTTATATTATAAGTTATAATTTAGATGATATTTATAATTTAAATGATAATATTCAAAAAACTTGTAATTATTCGAAAAACTGTATTATATATACATTTATTATATATATCATCTATATCACTATAGATGATTTCCATTAAAACAACTTAATCAATAGATAATATAGCAACAATACACCAATGTTATAAAATAAAAGAAAATAATTATGTGAAGATTTATGAAAAATAAATAACAAATGATTATTTCACAATTATTCACTTTTCTTTTTCAATATTTCAATATTAAAATAAAATATTAATTAAAATAATCATTTATTTTGCATGAATATTGAGATACAGAATTATAAATATTTGAAATTAAAGAATTTTTAATTAAATTATAATAAATATATCAATAGTCAATTTATAATACAGGAACAATTCTTAGTGGATTAAAAGTTGCTCCTGTTAAGCTTCGGCCGAAAGGTATCTTTGAATTCGTTATGAGATAATAATTACCAGTCCTACAAAGAAAAAATAATTTACTTATAAAAGAATGTTAATACAAGTAATAAAAAAAAGTAATTTAAAGATGTTCTCTTTTTTATGTTATTTATTTTATGTTAAATAACAAAAATTAGAACGTTCATGTTGAAAAATTAATTAAAAATTAATAAAAATTATACAAACGCATTGCTGGGTGTAGCATATCCCATTGGAATATATTCAACGCCATTACATTCATTTAATGAATGACACTTTCCAATGAAGATATTATGATTTTTAACTGATTCCGCATAAAATTTATAAGATCTATGATGACTGCAAAAATCTGTAACGTATAAAGAAATAAATATTCATTTATGAAAAAAAATAAAAAGAAACAATAAAAAAAATTTATTTAGAGATATTATGTAAATATTATATTTTACTCTATTTTGACTCCATAAATGATAGAAAATATTTTTTAAAATGATAAACAAATTTTCATAATAATTAACATATACATACATATATACTCAGATATATGAAAAATAAATATAAGAAATAAAAAATTTAAATATCTTTGTTATTTATCATATTATTTAAAAAATTATCAGAATGTAAAATTATTTAAAAAAATTTAATAACAAAAATTGTCAAAATTATTATATTTTTAATTCAGACTTTAATATCATCGATATTTTAAATGGCATCATATTCATTATATTAAATTTTAACTAATTAACTTATTATTCAATGATTGTAATGATTGTTCCAATTTAGAAATTGGTTACTAAATGTTTACTCTTCATATATAAATGATCTTATCAATATCATTCAAAAAATAAAAAATTTAAGAATGATATACTTTATACAAACCATCATTTGATAGCAGGCAACCTGGTTGCGATCTATGACCATAATTAGGAAAAAAATCCACATGACCAATTTTCAGAGCTAGACCATAGATACCCATATCAGTGTGAATAACGTCTACGAATTCGGCATCAGAAGCACTCAAATGAGAATTGAATATGTAATATCCAGGACCGGCAGGATCCAAGCCTAAATAAAATAAAAAAATTTTCATTTGAATTTAAATAATGTGATGAATATAGAGCAGTTTCATTTTATTTTCATATTCATCTAATATAAATTTTTTATAATTTATTAGATAAACATACGATTATCGTAATATATTTGAAATAAAAATTTTGAAAGTATATTAAAAGCACATTTTATTGAGAAATGTGTTGAAATAATTTTTTTAACTTTAAATGTAAAAGACAATTTGCGAAAAATAATTTTTGAAAGCAATTTGCGAGAATTTTATTTTCCAATATATTCGCATTTTAAATCTCTGATATTTTTGTATACTATTTTTGTAATTGTTTCAATCTGAAGAATCGATATTTTATGTTATGCGTGTCAATTCATATTTTATATAAAGTTTTGATTAAGATCAAAAGTTAAATTGTGACAATGCCTTTTCATTCTTTTCAAAAATTGAAAATATTTGGAAAAATAAATAATTTAAAGGTAATACCTGTTATTCTGCCAATTTTATAATTCATATTGCGCCCTATAATCCCCGAAAGCTGAGATCCCAATGAATGTCCAATTATATGTATATTTTTTGAGTTTATGCCATTTTCTATCATATTATCCAAAGCAGTAGCTACAGATTTTCCAACTTCATATAAGTGTTGTACGGCAAATATATAAAATTCTTTACTAACATTTCGATAATCGAGTGCAAGAACATTGTCTTGTGTATTTTCCAAATATGCTGTAATATTAAAGGGAATTTAATTAGTTGTATTTAGATAAAATAATGTATAATTATAATAAATATGATATATATAAAATATGTATAATGATTATATATGTATAATATAATGTCTATAGAATATTAATCATAGTGTCATATCTTCAAAAGATTGATTTCAATGTAAAAAAAATATAAAAATTAATATAATAATAATAAAAATATTATTATGAATCTTCTTCTGCATCATTTATATATATTAAATAATTCTTAATATCAGCATCTGAATTGTTAATTGAGAATCATAACTTACCATTCGTTATTAATTGCACATCTTCAAAATTAATGTCCTCATTCCAACCACTAATAAAGATTACTATTTTGTTATTTTTTTCTATATGAGATATCAATAGATTAGCATTTCTTATATTTTCATCAATATATAAGCCATTCCTAAAAAAAATTACTATTTGATTACGAATTTCAAATTTGCAAATAAGTCACAATAGAAATGATGACTATATAGATATGCAACTCGTGATTAATTAATTATATTTTACAAGTAAAAATAATTAAGTACCTTTTATATAAACGTAGAAAAATATTTTCAGTTAAATCTGAAGCAAAAACTGTGAACAAAATTAATTCCAAAATTATTAATAATTCGTTGTACATTATATAATATTTGTTTTTATTTTTTTAAAAAATTAATATTTTAAAATAAAATAATAAAATGATTGATACAATATTATTTAAACATAATTCCGTATTAAAAATAATTACATTTTGTATATAAGTACTGTTTATATTTATAAAATTATATGACATATATATTATATGATATTATGGAATACACTTATTATAATAAAAGTTAAAATTAGTCCTGACTAAACACACATTATATTTTGTTTTTAAATAAAAATGTATGTTTAATTTATATTAAAGTCACAAGACATTTTTTTACTCAAAAAAAAAAAAAAAAAAAAAAAAAAAAAATACATCATAAAACATAACAAAATTCATATAAATGTGAAAATATATTTTAATAATGATATTTTACGTAATATATATCATCCATGTATTCTTTTTTCCTATCTTTCAATTCAATACAATTTCATAAATATTCTCGAGAATATTAAAAATAATAGATGATTTCATTTTTTTTTCGAAATCGTTTTAAGTTTGTTATTAATATCATTTAAATTATTTTTATAATTTTTCAAATTTTTATGAATTTTTAAATTGTCAAATTTCTCTTTAAATTTCTATAGTAATAAATTCATTATTATATGTAATAAGACTTTTTATTTTTAAATTTGTTTTTAAATACACATATAAAAATAAAATGTTTGAATAACTTACCTGTCCACGAAAAATAGAGACATGCAATGAAAATACAGAAATAATTCTTTATCATATTGAAGAAAGAATCAAATTTCTTGATCGCCTATACAAACTATAAAATAATTTAATTAAATTCCCAATCATTTTAGTTTTATTATGTTTTTAATATTTTTAATTTTAACAAGTAAATATATCATTTAAAAACAAAATAAAATATTCATAACTTCAAAAAAATTTCAACAAAATATTTATATTATTTATAAAATAATCCAATAAAATTTATATGTTTTTAAAAATAAATCATATTAATAATAACATATATGTATATCAGATGTATATATAAATTGTGTTAATAACATGATTTAATATTTAATATTAAAAACATACTTTAACGAATATTACGAATAATTTGCTATTATACTTAAACAGTTAAATTATATTGACTTACCAAAGAGTGATCGATTTTAAAGACTTCACATTTTTAAATATTTTTCTTATATAGTATATAGATGTTACATTAAAATTATCTTTATTGTATTTAAAATTTTTTTTAATGTTTAGAAGTTTAATTACTCTTTATGAAAGATATTGTAATTATTTCTATTAAATTTAAACAATAATCGTTTGCACATTCGTTTATTGTCCATCAGATGTTCACATAATTGATAATTTAACCAGCAAATGTAGAAGCATATTAGAATGAATATTAAAAAACATTTCGTTTTTAGTAATAATAATTTTTAATAACAAAATTTAATAGTGTAAAATATAAATATTTTTAAAATCATACAATTCTTTCAATATCAAATATATAAATTATATTATATTAATAATATTATATTATATTATTAATATATTATATTAATTATATTAATAATATATAATATTCATATTTTAAGATATATATAATACTTAGATATATAATTTAAGAAAGTATAAATTTAATTTGTAATTATGATTGAATATAATTTATAATTAAGATGATTATTTACTATTCGAATATTTTAATGGAACTTAAATTTTATTATGCATTCTTGAAATTTTTCTATTTATATAGTATGATATTATCTGAATTGAATAACTTTATCTCAATTAGTTTTACTTTTTTTAAACGAAACATTAAATGGACGTTAATTAATACAATTTTGAGAATATTATGCTTTATATTTTACTTTTTAATAACAATGGAATGTAAATTTTAAATGACCTTTATAATAATTATTCAGTTAATTAAGTCAAAAGATAATGTAATGATGAATGAAAATAATAAAATGGAAAAAAAATAAATTTAAGCATTAGACATTTCATTGCTATTTATAACAAGTATTTTATTTTTCATATTAATATTAATCGATTAATATTAATCGATTAAGTTTCATTAATATTAAATTAATCTGTTAAAATAATCATATCCTAGTGAATATTAGTGAAACTTCTTTAACAATTTTTTTTTTAAATGTATTGGATAAGCAAAATAATAAAAACTTTATAGAAATTTAAGATTGTTTTTGAAAATATTAACAAACATTACATACAAGCAGACCTTAAATAATATAGATATATTAAATACAATAAAAGTTATAGTTGATAATATTAGTTAATTTTTTAGTGATAGAACTATAACAGTAAAATTAAAATATATTTTTGAATACTCACATATTTTTCTTTATTAAATTAATAGAATAGTATTATTATTATTATTATTATATATAATAAAAGTTGTTCATTTGTGATCTAAATATTTTTTATAAATAGGGATTGTTGAATGTAATTCTAGCATTGAATACAATTCTAGTATTGAATATAGATCACTTCTAGTTTGCTATATCAGATATTGTAAAATACATATTATTATGAAATGAATTATATAAAGTTATTAAACAATATTGTATTGAAAACAAGAAAATAATAATTTTTAGATAAACATATAAATGTAATAATGGCAATAATAAAACAGAAACTTTCATTTTATACTAAAGGAGTTGTAGTTCTGTAGCTCTTATGAATTCTTATGTCAGCTGTTAATTTTAAATCGTTTATTTATAATTAGTTTTGTGCAATTGGCTAATTATTTTAAATTTAATTTACTTGTACATTTGACGTTATCTTCTATTCATTATGCACTAAACATGAGATGTTTTCTATATACATATATATACAAGTAAATTAAGTTTAATAAAATAATTAGCCAACTACGTAATATAATGTAATTTTAATAGTTTTTTTTAATAATAAATTTAATTATTAATTACAGATTTTATTTACGTAATATGAAGGAATAAAAGTAATTATTAGCAAAGAGTTACAGAGTTAATAGTATAATAAATAATAGTAATAATAGTAATAATAATTTTTAAAATATATTATCACGAAGAAAATTTTGAACAATTTTTCTCTATAAATGTAATTATTGTCCCTCTTTAATTTCTTTAATTTCCATTCCACTAACAAAAATATCTTTTAAATTTTTTTTATATATAATTATACGATTTAAAAAAATTCAACTCCAATGATTTAATATTATTTTCTTAAAATAACATTTCTATAAAAAAAAATTATATTCATACATTCATATATTTACATATTCATTTTTAATAATAATATTAGATTAAATCATTAATTCATATTTATAAGAATATTAAATAGCAATTTTATATAGAATTTATCTATCTAATCATTTATATATATCATTTTATCATTTTATATATATCAAAACTAAAGTAAATAGATGTATAAAAGAGATATAATTTAATTATTAATTATAAAATTTCCATTAATATCAAATTTTTGTTTTTTTTTTAAAATAAAGAAATTGATTTAAAAAAGAGATGTAAAAAATTATAAGTCCTCTCATAATATTAATACGTATTTTAAAATATTATTATTGAATGTCAATAATAAAAAACAAAAATTTATATCAACGAAGAAAAATCTAGCATAAATACATTTTTTTAATTTAAAAATTCCTAATATTTGATTTCTTATATTTTTTTTTTTTTTTATTTGTAATTTCATAATATATAGTAATTCAATAATGTCATAAATAAGAAATCATAATAAATTCTAATGATGAAAAATAAAAATGATGAAAGATTTTCTAAAACTTGAAAATTGATTATTAGATCAAAAATTAAATTATTTTTATTAAATTAGATTTTTAACATGAAATTTATTACGTAAAATTACCGAAATTTATCGAATCAAATCAAAAAGATTCTTTAAATATTCGAAACAACAAATAAATGTATGAATATTTTCATATTATATACATTGTATTATATTATATAAAAAAATTTGAATTAAACTTCTTTTTTTTAAATGCAATATATACTTGTTAATATATAATTATTAATAATTAATGTTAAATTTTAATAGTTTTAAATTCTAGTTTTAAATACATGGAATAAAAAAAAAATTAATAATAGAAATACATCATCAAAAAATAAATCGAAACTTTAACAAGGAAATAAAAAACCGTAAGTGAAACATAAACCATTTTTATTATATTTATCTTTGATATTACATAACACATTTTTGATAATGTGTACAATTTCAAATAACAATTTTATATTTATTATTTTTCATTTATATTAACATACATTTAGAATATATTAATAATTACATTTAATTATATTTAGAACAATAAATAACAAATGATTAAAAAAATACACAAATAAAATAATTTCTTTTCTATTTAATTATTTTGTTTTAACTATTATTATTAGTACTTAATAATTGTATCTATTAACAATACATGTTATGTTATGTAAAATATGTTTATACTAAAAAATATTGTATGCAATTTTCAATTTTTTAAATTTTTTATTAAAATTGTATAATATACAAATGAATAATTTTATTTTTGAATTATTAAAATTAAATTAAATTAAATTGAATAAATATATAATAACAATATATTTTATATTTAATTACTTTAAAAGTTATTAATTTTAGTAATTAAGTTATATATGAAATATTTTTTAAATATTACATAATAATTTAAAATAATAGAAAATTAAAAATAAAAAAATCAAAATATAAGTAAAATTGTGAATAAATGCAGCAAAATAATTTTTTTTCACACCTAGATAAATAAGATAAATATATAACATAATATTATAATATTATTATTTGCACAAAATCGATTTTAATGTTTGTAAAATTTCAAAATTTCGATATGCTATCAAACCATTGCTATTCGAAAAATTGGTGGATGTAGATAAATATTTTATATCTATGTAATCAGAATCAAAATTATTTATAAAACTTTGGAATTCAATAATACCTCCATGTAAAGAACGCAAAAGAGCTTGTGGACCACAAGTATCCCATTTATATGTGGAACTTTTAGATAAAATATAAGCATCAACTTGTCCAAGAGCAACGCTTAATATTTTATAACCTGCGCCAGCTGCTTCTACTAAAATAAAACCCGCATCTAAAAGTTTTGATTTTATATTTTCATCTTCAACTCTACTCAGAATAATTATCTTTTTATTATTATGTTCTTTCACTATAGAACATTTTCCAATGTCATTTTCTACAAATCCCCAGTAGCAATTACCTTTCCATCTATTAAATAAAATGTTTAATTAAATATTGATGTTTTTATAAGTATATAAATTGTTAATATATTCGTGAGATAATCAGAGAATCGATTCCAGAAGCCAAATCAAATATAAAAGATCAAATTTCATTGTCTCCATCTTACTTTATACTTAAATAATAAAAAAAACTTAAATTCCTTAATTTAATTTAACTTATAATAAGCCTCAATTGATTTTTGTATATTAATTTATTTATTTTGGCCTTGATATTCTATAAATGTTTCACGAATATACAAAATATTAATATAATCAAACAGGAAATGATTCTATGTGAAAAAATAAATCGGAAATATAAAATAAAATTTTTGAATCAATTCCAGATTCATTTTGAGATTTTTTTTTTGAATACAAATAATAACAATAAGCAAATTCAAAAAATTTTCAAATACAGCTAAAGTACAACTATTTTCCAATTAGAATATTGTCGATGAATATTGTCGATAACTAATTACTTTACATATGAAAATAAGTAAAAAATAAAGATCAAAGAATTAGAAAAAATAAATTTTTTTTATTTAAAAATTAATTTTCGAAAAAACTGAATTTGGACATTGATTACATAATTCCTTAATTATATTTAATCTTGATTTTAAAATAACTTAAGCAATAAAATTTTATTCTATTTTATTTTTTACTTATTTTCATATATAGATTAACTATTTGATAGTTCATTTATATCTAATCAAAAAATAATCAATTTTAGTTGTATTTGAAAAATTTTTAAATTTGTTTTATTCGAAAATGAAATCTCAAATAAAAAAATTTTATTTTACATTTTCGATATTTTTTCGATATTTTTAATTTTCCGTTCGATTATATATAGGATTCTATATTAATATCCTATTAATTTTGCTTATTTACCGTAAATCTACATTCGTATAGAAAGGTTGATTAATTACTCCCAAAATTGGTATGCCTGTACTTTTCATATATACTCCAATTAAGACAGTAACACATCGTAAACCACTCATATGTACACCAGTGGTATGATCGACTTTTTCACCTCCATTTATGTAATCTGCAGTTGAATCTACAAAAGTTCCACGAATTGCTCCTCAGGCATGTTTTATTAAACTACAAAACAAATAGAAGACTTAACAAATAACTTGTCTAATTTTATGTAATAAGATAAAAGAAAATCATTTAAAAAAAAATATAAAAATAAAAATAAAAGATAAATAAAACAAAAAAGAGAAACAGAAATTTAAATAAAAAAAAGTTGTTGTTATTGATATTATTTATTTAAAATTTGAAATAGTAAAAAATAAATTATGTATGAAAATAGAAATATTTACCATATAATTTTTCCAGACATCGTTTTAATACACATAGCAATATATTAATATTATATTGTATCTACATGTATATATATTATAATAAATTGTTATTTAAGAACATTCAAATTATAGTATTACATTTCTTACCAATTGGATCTATCCATATACCAAGATCATTAATATCAACATCAAAATCAACAGGTAGTTTTGCTACTATTGGAATGTCTAAGAATTGAACATCTTTATGGACTTCTGTAGCTAATAATTCAGCAATTGCAATATCACTACCCATTACTTTGGCTAATAATTGAGTAGTTTCTTCACTAGTAGAACATATTCCAACTATTATAGATTCACCCATAGCATTACTGAATGTATTAGTTTCTTCTCCTTGTACTACTTTAGCTAATTCTGGAAACTAATATTCTATAAGTGGTATTATATTTAATTTATATTTCTTATTTATATTTCTTATATTAACTTTAATTTTATATTTATCTTCTTTTTTTTCTTTTTTGATATAAAAAATGAAAATTAATACATGAAAATATTCAATATAAAATTTACTTATTTATTTATTTTCATTAATCTATTATTGACAAATGAATTTTTTTATTCAAATTTAATTATATAATATTTTTTATTAACTTACCTCTAATCCTATGTCATGTTTAATTGTTTCTTGGATAAGAACATCTGCCAAAGTTTTAAAATCTTGAAAAAAGCGTGGATTTTTTTCTTCCTCTGATTTTTCTTGTACAAGTAATTTAAATAATGCATCGTTATGTCTACAAGCTCTTGCTATATTTGCTGCTTTTTCTGAAACTCTCAGAAGAATTGACAACAATCTGCTTCCGTCTTTCATTGTAATGATGAAATGATGTTCCAAATTTGATAACTATGATATTAATAATTTGTTAATAAATAAAATCTTTAACAAAAAAATTTACAAATTTACATTTGAATAAAAATTTTAAAGAAATATTTTAAAAAGTATGAAAAAACGTACGTTACACTGAATGCTTGATATTGATATAGTTTGGCGGGAATCCGTGTAAATTCTATTATATAATTATAGAATATTGACTTAATATAATATCTTGCATTTAAAAAATAAAAATAATAGCACAAACGTTTTGCACTTCTAAGAATATCTGAATATTAAAATAATTATTCATGCATCATAATTTGAATGACGCAAACAGACATTTCCATTTTTATCTAATAAATTCAATACATTATCATTAATATAAAATAACTTCTATATAAGAAAATATATTTAATAAAATTGGTTATATTAAATAAATTTATTACTTAATTATTTTATTAAATTTATAAATGATTAACAGTTTCTAAAAAATTTAGCTAATGGTTATTCAATCTATTAATATATGTACATGATATATATATAAAGTAATAATGTAAAATTTAATAAAGTATTTAAAAACAATAAGCATATGAAATTAAAAAGTTTATATACATCAATTTTTATTTTTTTAATAGAAAATCACTTTTTTATATTTACATTTTATATAAATTTTTACTTCATGTACAATAATTCCATTTATGTTTCCAAATAAATATAACCTATCTTTCTTTTTGAATATAAAATACGCTAATATAATTAAGTTTAAATAACATTAACATAAGTGCATAATATTTCAATCTACTTTATTTATTTTAAAATTTTTATTTTTTTTAATGAATTTATAATAATGAATAATAATTTAAGAAAAAAATAAGCTAAATTAAATAGTATTCATTATATGTATATAAAATTACTATATTATTTGAAAAGAATAATTGATCGATAAAAAGAAAAATATAATCATTTTTAATTTATTTTATGAAACGTAATAATTGTATTAATAAGCATATTATTCAATTTGAATATATTTTATCTAAAATAAAAATTAATATTTATTTATTAATACAAGAAAATAATATGAAAGAAAAAATGACAGCAATATTAGGTGCTGGTATATCAGGCTTATCAGCTGCATATTATGCACTTGAAAATACAAGAATGGCTCCATTAGTTATATTAGAAGCTTCAAATCGTGTAGGTGGATGGATACGTTCTATAAAACAATCTGATGGAACGATTTTTGAAACAGGTCCACGAGTTATGAGAGCCAATACATATAATGTATTAAATTTAATAGAAGAATTAGGATTATCATCAAAAATCATTCCTATTAAATCTAATCATCCTGTTGCTAAAAACAGATATATTTATGCAGATAATGTATTACATTGTTTACCTAATAATTTAAAAGGAATTATAACAAAAAACACATTATTAAATCGTTCTTTAAGTAGTATTTTATGGAATGACTTCAAAGCAAAGAAAATTCTTACAGATGATGAAAGCATATATAGTTTTGTAGAAAGGAGATTTGGCAAAGATGTGTCTGAAAAAATGATTGCCCCAATATTATGTGGAATTTGTGGTGGTGATATACATAAATTAAGTGCAAGATCATTTATGACAAATTTATTTGAAATTGAGCAGAAATATGGTTCTGTATTTATGGGTCTTATACAACAAAAATTTTCAAACATGTTAAATAATAAAAACAAAAACAAAATTGAATTGAAAAATGATATTCATACAATATTAAAATTACATAATACATCTTCAATTTTAGCACAAAGAGCTAAAAGAGAAGCATGGAGCACATGGGGTCTTGAAGGAGGTTTTGAACAATTACCTCAAACACTAGCAGAAAATATAATGAAACGTGGAGTAAATATAAAAATAAAACATAAATGTGAAAAAATTATATTTAATAAAGATTGTGTGGAATTAATTATAAATGGAAAAATTGAAAAATATTCTAATGTTATATCAAGTTTATCTGCTAAAAGTTTAGCTAATTTAATACAAGAGCAACATCCAAAACTATCTAAAGAATTACATAGTATACCTACAGTAACAATAGCTGTAGTTAATTTTCAATTTTCTAAAAATGTTTTACCTATTGAAGCTTTTGGAGTTCTTATTCCACCAAAAGAAGAAATTCCAATTCTGGGTATAATATTTGATTCATGTGCTCTTCCTCAAAACTCCAAAATGACAGTATGTATAAACACAGTAGTGCTCAGTTAAATTTGACTAAAATCCATTTTAAATTTACATTCATTGTTAATAGCTTATTAATTTGAATTAAATTACAGTGTTTAATTTTAATATTGATTTTTTAATATGAGATTAATAGATAAATAGAAATGAAAAGAAAATAGATATAACAAGAGATAGTGAAAGATATCTCTATTGAATTATGCTCAAATCAAATTCTGATAAAAAATATATAATTTAACTTTTGGGTCGCAAACTTAGTTAAATTTAATTGAATACTGCTGTATAAATATTTATTATCTATTTTTTTTCTATTACAATTTCAATATTTATTACATAAATTTAATATTTGTTATAATGAATTTAAAAAAATTCTAGCAATAATACAAAATGATCTTAAAATTTAAACAAATTTTTACAAATATGTAATGGACTAGAAATACTTGTTGAATATGTACATCTTTTTTTAATCCAGGTACTGACAGTAATGATGGGTGGGGCATGGTTTGAAAAATACTTTGGTAAATGTTCATCTGAAGAACATTTAAAAATGATTGCAATTAAATATGTAAATAAACTTTTATGCATTAACGAAGATCCCAAGATATGTAATGTTTCCATTCTGAAAGACTGTATTCCACAATATGTAATTGGTCACGCACAACGGTTAACTCGTATCCACGATTATATCTCCGCGCATAAAATACCTTTGGGGCTGTGTGGTTCTTCATACCACGGTGTAGGAGTCTCTCATGTTATTCTGTCAGCAAAAGAAGCTGTTTCTAGTATTAATCAATATATGATATAATTTATAAGTTTCAAATTCAAACTTGACAACAACCTTGACTAATCAAATATATTTTAATGCTTTCTTTTGATTTAAAAACAAAATAATATACATGCAAGAAAATAACAAAATAGTAATGATAAATAAGCCAAGATAATCTTTTTCTTTAAAAAATAAATTACAATTTAATTTTAAACATGCATTATTCATGCTATATAATAAAAATACAAAGTACAATTCTTATATTAAAATGAAAATAATAAATAAAAGGAAATAGAATATTAAAATTGAAAAATGATATAAAAGGGATATAAAAATTTGGAATAATTATTCCAAATTAGCATTTAAAAAAATTATTTAGAGTTGGAAAAATTTTATACTTATTAAGATAAAACATATATAAATATGTATTTTTATTATAAAATGTAAATTATTGTTTATAAAATAAAACATAAAATATATAAAGAAGATATAAGTATTTGTTTATATATTCTATTTTTATATACATAAATGTAATACTACTAATACTACAAAACAAAGAGTAATTATTAAGTATTATAATATAAAATAGTTATTACAATTTAATATTATTATTTATAAAATATATATATATAAATATATATATAATTTATAAAAATCCAAAAATATATTTCTTTTTGTATAACAAAAAGAAATGAATGAATCTTAAATATATTATAATATTTTTAATTATGTAGATAAGCAAGCATGAAGTATCATAAAAATGCAGCACACAAGCATTCCATACTTGTAAATAAATCAAAACTACTATAATGCTATATTTATATTTATATTAAATAATAGTATATTCAATAAAAAATTTTAAATAATTTGCTTATATTCAAATTTTATTTAAATATTTTTTAATAAAGAATTATAAAAATAATTATTCTTTTAAGAAGACTACAACAATACAGAAAGAATAATAAAGAACTCAATATAATTCTCTCTATAATAAATTTAAGCACAATAAAAATATTTTGTTATATGCTTTGATATCAACAAATGAAATCTACTGACTAACTGTACCTGCATATTTAACTTCATCGAATGCTTTTCTAGCTTTCTTTAATTCTTCATTCATTGTTAGAAGATCTTTAACTCTTGCATATTTCCTTGGATCTTTTCTAACTATAAAATAAAATAAAATAAATTAACTTAAAATTTATATTATATCCTAGATAATCAATAAACTTATATTAAAATGTTTAATAAAATATATAAATAAATTATAATATTAATATTACCTAAAAATACAATATCCTCTACTTGAACACGACCAGTACGACCAATTTCCATAGCTCTATGTGTCATTTCAGTAATAAATTCAATAACAAGATCTTCTAATAAATCTACACTTTCTGTATAAGGATTTTGATCATCACCAAAACCATACATCATACAGCGTAGTTCTTTCGAAAACAATCGTTTTCTACCACCAGGTAAAGTTCCACCAATTGGAATTTCGGCCTCCTCATCTTCAAACTGTGATAATTTTAATTTTTTTTTCACTGATAATTTTAATTTAAATGTTTAATTTTCCAAAAATATTAAAATTATTAAATCAGTTAGTATTTTTAACTTAAGGTTAGGTTCATAAATAATATTAAATATCAACATATATTAAAATAAGAAAATCGAATAAAATATTTATTAAAAACCTGTTCAAAACCTTCTTCTGTGGTCATAATTTAATATTTGTAAAAATTTGGTAAAAATTTTTAAAAAATATTTCACACAGTGAAAAAATACAAACTCGCTATCACATAAAACGTAACGTTGTAAATGTAGTTCATTTGAAATTCATTTTAATAGTTCGTGAACGTTTTTCAGAAGATATTGTGAATAATTATGTTTTTTGATATTTGAAAAAGTACAAAATTATGTCGCCAGCAATTCCTACGCCAAAAACTTGGAAAGAAACCAATCGTTTACATAAAGAACAACGAAAAAGATGGAAGGAAGAGAGGTTAGCTAAGAAATTCGAAAAAGAAGAAACTAAAAAAAAATTACAGAAAGAAGTATTTAAACCCATTCAGAAACATTTTGAAAAAAAAGATATTTCGACAATCAGTATTGCAGTTCCTGGATCAATTTTAGACAATGCTCAATCTCCAGAATTACGAACATATTTAGCAGGACAAATAGCACGTGCAGCATGTGTTTATAAAATAAATGAAATTATTGTTTTTGATGATAAAGGAGAAATAATTGAAAGTGAAAAGAAAAAAATACGAAACGACGAAGTATTAGGTGAAAGACGAGTTGGATGTTTGCAGTTAGCTAGAATATTACAATATCTTGAATGTCCACAATATTTAAGGAAATATTTTTTTCCTATTCATAAAGATTTGCAATATGCTGGAATATTAAATCCTGTAGATGCTCCACATCACTTACGTCAGCAAGATATATCTTTATATAGAGAAGGAGTAGTTACAAATAAACCAGTTAAATCTGGTAAAGGTTCTCATGTGAATGTAGGATTATTAAATGATGTTTGTGTGGATAAGGTATTAACTGCTGGATTAAGAGTTACAGTCAAAATACCTGAAGAGCAATCAAATCTAAAAAAATTAAAAGGATTTATTGTTCCACCTGATATTCCTAGATCAGATACTGGTATATATTGGGGATATACTGTGAGATTAGCTAATAATCTCACAGAAGTATTAACACAATGCCCTTATAAAAGTGGATATGATTTGACCATTGGTACTTCAGATAAAGGAAAGTCAATTGATGATATAGAATCAAAAGGCATTGAATACCACCATGCTTTAATAGTATTTGGAGGATTGTCTGGATTAGAAGCTGCAGTAGATTGTGATCCTAATTTGGATGTGGATGATGCTTCTTTGGTATTTCATCAATATTTGAATACTTGTCCTCAACAAGGATCAAGAACTATTAGAACGGAAGAAGCTATTTTAATTACATTGGCAGAATTAAGAACAAAATTGTTTCCTAAAATTCCTTCATTACCAAATACTCAATTTAAAAGTTTTGTAAATAATTGAACTATTAGTAAATATAAATAATTGTAAGTAATAATATGAAAAATATAAAAATTTTTGCTTTTTTTTTTTATTTTTTATGAAAATTGTATAAAATTATACAATATTTTCAAAACTTTTAATATAAGTATATATATGTATAAACTTATAATTTTATAAGAAAATGTTTTTCTCTTTTTTATTGTTTAATTATTTTGTAATGCACAATTTACTGTATCTCTTAAAATTTTAATAACTTTTGCTTGATCAGAAGAACCTATGACTGCTGTTCCAGAGACAATCATGTTTGCACCAGCCTAAAAAATATATATATGTAATTTATTTTTTTATTATAATATGAAATTAATGGAATTATATATACCTTTGCACATGAATCAATAGTTTCTGGTCCAACACCACCATCTACTTCTATATCTAATGTAGGATAATTTTTTCTAAGCCATGATACTTTTTCCATCATTGGTTCCATGAATGTTTGACCACCAAAACCTGGTTCTACAGTCATAATTAATACCATATCTGCTAAATCGATATATTCTATAACTACATCTACTGGAGTCCCTGGTTTAAGTGCAACTCCAACCTTTCATTTAAAAAATATGAATTTAATAATTTTTTAATTAAGCAAGTTTAATTTAAAAATATTATATATAAAATATGAAAGTACATACTTTCATTCCTGCTTCTTTTACTTTTCTACAAATTAATGAAACATTCTTTACTGGTTCAACATGAAATGTATATTGATTAACACCAGCATCAGCCATAGGTTCTATCCACTAAAATAAAGAAAAAATATTGTATAATGCTTTTTAAATGAAATTTATTTAAATAAATATATAGAAATACTAATTTTTTTTTAAATTAAAAATTCATTTTCAAATATAAAATAAAATAAATTATACCTGATCAGGATTAGAAACCATCATATGTGTTTCAAAAAAGGCATCTTTTATTTTATGTCGAAGACATTTTACTAATGGGTGACCAAAAGTGAGGTTAGGTACAAAGTGACCATCCATAACATCTAAGTGTAAATAATCAGCACCATTATTAATTAATCGTTGTGATTCTTCCGAAAGTTGTGCCAAATTAGCATTTAGAATCGAAGGACCAATTTTTGCAGTCAATTTTTTTGACATTTTTTTTTTTAAGTAAAAAATATTACAGAAAAATGAAACACGTGTTTTCAATAAAAATGATAATGCATTATCGAGTGACTTAATGATCTTTCATACAAGGTCACTTCATTTTTTTTTAAATTTTTTACATTAATTAAGAAATACAATAAATTAAATTTTAATTTAAAAATTAAATAATAGGAAATAAATATAGTGCAAATTTATAAACACTGTACGAAATGAAATACATTTATTTATACATAAAAATATAGCAGTTTACAATAGACAATAGATTATGATAATTTTTCAGATGAAAGATTAAAATAGATAAAAAGTATTAATTAATAATAAGCGAAATAGGAATCGAGGTCAAAGAATCGATGTTTTTTTCATCGAATATAAAATTACATAGAATTTAGCAATTAATCTTATTATATCAGATTAAACGAAATCTTTTTTATTATATCTACTTATTAAGTCGATATATAAAATAAATAAATAATTTGTTTAAACTAGAATCCTCATTCGAGAGGTATCGCAATATAGATAATAATTAAATATTGAAATATATAGCTTAACTTGCTATTTTAAACTTGCTAAAGTCATTATCATAATCGAATATAAAACTCTTTGGCACCTTAAAATCTATTATAAAAGTTTTAAGTAAAATAATGGCTGCGTTTTAATTGATAATAATTAAACGAAGCGTTATTAATTTTTGAACGCATTGTCATGTTTTCAGTACCAAAATATAATCTCACTGCATAGAATTATGCATAGTGCTCATATTTAAAAATAATACCATATGACCATTAACGAACACTGAAATTTTGCGCAAGAAGATTATGGCATATCGTACAATAGTAAAAAGAGATCAATCCGGATTTATTCTTCCATAATTTATTTAATTAACTGTCCGAGACACTTCTTTTTCGGGCTGAAAAATAATACACATTTATTTAAACTTTTTCTTTCAAAAAATTTTGTTTATAAATTGAACGATTTTATTTATAAAATCGTCAAAAAATTAAATATCTTCTGTATAATTTATTTTAAAATAAATAGTGAATTAAATAAATTAAAAAATAATTAAATTAATTAAATTTAAATAAAAGTTAGAACTTACGCGCAAGGGATAAAGGAATGTACTGACGACTTGTTGACGATTTCCAGACTTCGCTTGACAAGTATAACCACCCATATCTTCCCATAAGAGTTCCTCTATCATTAAGTCACCACTATCTAATACTCTATGTCGCAAATTAGTTGATAAACTTAGAGGTACATTATAGTTATTCACCCAAGTAATTTGTGGTGTTGGTTTGCCACTTGCCCTGCATGGCAATACCACAGTTACTCCTATATTTGCTACTAATGTAGGAGAATAAAGAGTGATTATTGGATCACTTTCAGAACTGCAATTATTTAAACCACGTTCATCTGTAAGAAAAGAATAATTATTGAGTAAGATTTTATATGATAATTTAAATTAAAATTTTTTAACATTTAAGATTTTATCAGTATTCTATCTAATGATGAAGAATTGAACCAATAATTTTAAAATATTAAAATATTTCTTTTATACAGAATTTATTATATATTCTAAATATAACTCAAAAACATTAATGTTAATTATTTTGCAATGACAAAATCATAGATATTAATAAATGTCTATTTCGTTCGAATCTGAAATACAATTATGTGTGTATCAATTTCTTTATCTGTTGCAGAGAATAATACTAATTTTTAATAAAAAATCTCAAATACAAACGTTAAAATTATGTAATTATTTCTGTGATATTGCTTTTGATTTAATTAGTGATTATTTTACATAAAAAAAAGAAATACATATAAAAATATATTTTTTTAGTCAAAAATCTTATATAAAAATATATTATATAATATAATAAATATAATATATATATTATATATAAATACTCATCAATAATATGTTAACATCGATTTGATACGAATCGAAAAGATTATTATAATCATTTATTTTGAAAAAATAATAAGACAATTGATATTCAATTGCAAATAATGTATGGAAAAAAATCTAAAGTTTTATGAATCACTTATTAAAGAAATATGCGAATACATTATATAAAATAAGAGGGTTGCGTGATAGTTGATCCAAGTTTCATGTTAATATAGTTTTAGATTGTTAATATTCCACTTACTATTAACTAGCAGCACCGTAGGAGTAGAGATCTTCACCTCTCTCGCAGAAACCGACGCACAGTAGATTAATCCAGCATCATCTGGAGTAACGCATTCTATCACGAGCTTTGAATTAATTCTGGCCACTCCTTTCCACTCCTCGGATGGATCGTACAAGGAATGCGTACTGGCTTTCACATACTCAATTAACTACGGCAAAAAAGATATTACGAATTAATATCTTTCTTCTTTCTCTTGCTCACAATGTAAAATTGTATTCGTCCGTGATATTCACTTGTTCGTTGCTACCACTTCCTGTGAACCAGAGAATTTCCGGCGGAGGACTACCGCTAGCTTTGCATTCTAATTCCACCCTGCTTCTGCAATAATAAAAAAAGCACAATATTATCGATATTATTGTTACATTTGCGTTTTCATTTATTTTAATATGTCATATTTACCCCACAGTAGTTTCGATACCGTTTACTGGGTTCTGAGTGATAGTAGTCCATGGTTCTACTGGCTGTATCAAATCAAAACAATTCAACATTAGATTGCGAAGATTTCATAGAAGTTTAATTTTTTTCAAATCTCTCTTCGAAATTAAATCTTTATTAATCTCAATTTTATATTTCTTTTCAAATCAAATTCATTTCTTAAGATCAACTAATTTCTTTGCTAATTAA